AGCCCAGAAACAAAAACTACACTAGCAAACTAACCCTGCAAAAATCGCGACTACTGCATGCATGCATGTAAAGAGTACTCCCGAAGGACCAAGGAGTACTCCAAAATTGACCACAATTCATATAAAAAAGTTGGTCCAATTAACATTGCGATGTCCTAGAGTAGCAAAAAACTACTCCAACATACTACAATGACATTGTTGTTATATTTTTTCGTTTGTACACGCTTTTGTTCTTCACTTCACAGATCCTTTTTTTGAAATTAATAAAAAATTACATGTTGCCTCTGACGACATTCGAACCCGAACATGCTGGGAGCTAAGAGCTAACAGCGAGCATCTCTACACATTCAGCTACAGCCAGACATGCAAATGTGCTTTAAAATGCTCAACTTCAATCACATTTCGTTAAAGCACGAGCAGTGATCGGGTAACAATAAACTAGTGCAGATACACGAGTTGGTCCGCTACAGCATGACAGAGGTACACTTTTGTAAGTACTTCAATATATCACAAATAAACTACAGGGTCCAACGATTTTTGCAGGGAAACGCACAAAAGTACAACAAACACTTCGTTTTGACAAACAGTACAAATTCGCCTTCAAATCAACAGCTCCGGTAACACCACCACATATGAATTCGGCTTTTTTCTTTGCCTGCTGTTTTTCAGGGAAACTTTTGTCGACGTGATTTTTCCTATTTTTATCTTAATATCTCATATAAAAAATAGAAAAGTTGAACTTGAACCTCTTATATTTTACTTGCGCCAAATAATTCTGACATGGGTGAAATCATGGTAAAAAGTTATATCGAGCGACATTTTTTGTTTTTGCATAGCTAAACGGTTGGTATTCTATTCCTATGCCTTATGTTATATGTACTCACAAATTCATATTCATATTTATGTTATAGATATATATGTAAAGAGAATAAATTAATTACCCTTTTTTAAGTTTTGATTGTTTTACAAATAGTCAATTATGTACTATTAAAAAATAGAGAAAAATACTTGTTTGATTCGATTAAATTGCAAAAATTAATCGATTATAGTAATGAAATGATTAGTCGCTACCATTCCTAATCTTATTTGAAAAACGGTACATTGGTTGCGGCGAAAAGTTTTACTTCCATAATTTGTGCAAGGCATCAATAGTGCGGATTATATGGATTAACTATTAATTCAATTGTCGTTCATCATTTTTAAACATAAGCGACAAAAATACTGAGGTTAGTATCGATCGTTACGTTTTTATGTGCTGTGTAATTTATATAGTGTAACTATGCGATGGCGTTAACAATTAAAAAATGTGTGCAGAAGACATATCTAGTGACAAAATCGCAATGGATATTGACTACGACTTGTACGACTACAATCTAGTAAAATTTCTTGAAGAGTCTGCCGACGTGGTCCTGCCACATGTCATCGACATAGTTTGCAAAGATTGGATCTACTTCAATACTAAACTGGGTGTCTGCGAAACACGTTTTCCACCTACGCCATACGGAGCCATAAAGAACAAATATTTATTTAAAAAACTGATTGAAAAATCAGAAGCACCCGCAAATTGGGAATCATATGAAATCGAAATTGTCGGTCATGCAAGTGAGTTAAAATAATATATCATTCTATTGCGCTTTATGAAATGTCGCAAAGTGGCATTTTTGGCGGCGTAAGTCTAGAATACATATTCATGTATAAGTCTAAAATTTGGTATCTTAAAGTTGATATTTCATGTCTATACAGAATCGTACAATGAAGTACTTGAGCGACTACAAGAATTAAGGAAGAAACCATTTGCTTTCACAGGCAATGAAAATGCTTCCAAGAAATCCGAAGCTATGAAACGAGAAGTTCAACGCCGGGAAAGCCCTGAAGCTTTGAATGAAGAGAAAACGCACGAACACTTTAGTGATAATGTTTGTTCTTTGAGTGAAATAGAAACAGGTAATAAACAAGCAATCAGAATGCAAAATAAAAGCAACATGTTTCTATTTTTGATATGTTTTAGACGCCGAGGAACCATCCTCAAGCAAAAAGAATGATAAACAATTTCTTTCCAAATTTAAGAAGCCAAATCGAAAAAGTAAGAATTGACTAGAACTTTGGAAATTTATAGCTTTCAATTATGATTTTATATAGAGAAGATTCATATTCAATATCCGCAATCTGCTATTTTTACAAAAATGGTTTTATGATATTAGACTGCATCTGCAACTTAACTGCCAGTAATTTTACTTTTGCAATTCAATAGTACATTTTTCTAACAAGCGATATACAAGGTCAATATTAACATAATCGATGATAGTTAGGCCTTAGGTGGATTTTTATATCGGAATACCAGTTTTGTGAAAATCTTCTTAATTTACATTTAGGTCGATCGCCACAATTTTCAAGCTTCTCCTGCTAGAAGATCATCAAAAAGTCTGAAGCATCGCAAAGATTTATACAGTGATGGTAAATATAGCATTTCCAGTTTAAAATAAACCATTTTCAAATTAAGCGAAACCTTTATCAAATTAAATTGCATTTTTGTATTTAAAATGACAAAACTGGTTTCTTAACCGCTATGAAAATGAAAAAAATATATAAACAAACTTCGGCTGTTTAAAGTCCAAATATATAAAAAAAAAAATCAAAGCAGCTGTTTTACGCTGATGCTTTCTATTTCCAGACAACCGGTCAGGTACGAGCATGATTTTTAATTTTGACCAAACTCAAATACATTGTTTGTTGGTCCAAATAATGAGACACGTATTTTTTCTTTTGGCTCGGAAAAATTTTTCGGCCGAATTAAACGCGATTTTGTTTTTCAGGCAAAAATCGATTATTCGAATTGACAGTGAGAA